TTATAAAAAAATTATGAGAGTGAAATTTTAAGATGCGCGCGCATCAGTGTAACACAAAATTTTAACAGCATGAAGTTGGTCGCTTTAGGTAAACTTTTGTGTTTACCGCACATTAAGAAAATCTACCGACAAACTAGAAATAGAATCTCTATTTAGTGGGTGCTAACGACTGCATTGTGAAGGCCTATCAAAAGTATTTATTAATCTGGAACAACGGAACCAAAGCGCGATTCAAGAGACTACAGCGCCATCTCTTGACCATTGGTGTAGTAGAACCAAAATCCACATCTTTATTTTTCAATGTTACTTTTATGTTATTATTGTAATAAAGTAACAGTTATAGGTATTCATATTTATAATATTTATCCACATGTTTCTAGTTTGTATATTCGGAATACGTGTTTGAGTTTCATACAAGTGCAAATCACATATGTTCTAATAAATTATATTCAGTAGCGATTTTAATTGAATATTTTGATTATCTATTTATTTTTTCAAATTAAAACTGAACTTTAGACTGTGTCCTTTTCCAGACTTTTTATTAATTTATTGTAATTAATTATTTGTATGCAATTAAAAACTAATTTTAAACGATGCCAAAGAAGGATAACTTCTCACGCGCCTACATAAGTACACGCACCCATTTTTTTTTAAAGTTGACAGAAGAAGCAATTGTTCGGATGAGGTAAATAGTGCTCTTTTAAAAAAAAGATGGCGCGTAACCAAAAAACGTGACGCGTAACCGAATAAAAATGTGACGGTAAATTTTTTTCCAACGCTGATAAAGAAGTTTCACTTCAATTAAATAAATATTCAAAATATTCAATTAAAATCACTACTGAATTTAAGTTATTAGTCCATATGTAATTAGCACTTGTAAGTAACTAAAACACGTTGTGTCTATATAGAAACTAGAAACATGTGGATAAATATTATAAATATGAAAACAGTGATCAGAGGCGACGAGCGTGCCAACATTGTTTTTGACAACGCGATCATCATAAGGAGCTCCGTGGATCGTTCAAAGTACCTTTCGAACAGATGTCTAATACACTATACTATACTAGACACTAACATTCATAACGCGCCCGCGGCCAACTTCATGGTGTTACTATTGTGTTACAGTGATGCGCGCGCATCTTAAAATTTCACTCTCATAATTTTTTCATAACGCGGCTTAAGAAGTATAACTTCAATAATGTATCTTTAGAAATTGGGGATGGTGATTTTGGAAAATCATTGAATCCCCTTATGGGGTGAAAAAGAATTTGCAAATAACTAACTCCACGCGCACGAAGTCGCAGGCAGTTACATAAATATATGCTCATCAAAAAAATAACATGTTATACGGTAATGAATGAACTTTTGAACGGATTTTACTATTGCAATTTATTTATACTATACTACTATAAACACTATGGAAAATATATTATATTACTATTTTCGAGGACAAAATATTAAGACAAATCGAACTAATTCGTTAAGTTGAAAACTAAATATCAATTGATAAATCAATGCATTGTGTTTTTAATGCTTTTAAAGCAATAATCTGTAATTTAAATAATAAATAAATTAAATATTATTCAGTGGTTATACTTTAATTTTTTTCCTAGTATCGTATCGTTATATCGTTATCGTATATAGCGTATCGTTTGACAAATTAAAATTTGAAAACCGTTAATCATGTTCAATGTTGGATAAAAAACAGATGCAATACATATAGCGACGTATTTAATAAGCTCGGAAGGTCTTTTAAAGATTTTAATATTTTTTTGGACTTTCAAGCTAATTAAATAGAATTGAAAATTAGAAGGTTCCTTCACTCAAAGAAAATTAATTGTCTCATCAACGAAGTAACTGTTTGTTTGGGCACACTACTAGAACGAGATACACTCCACCAATTCAGCTTTGCTCTTCGGAACGATTTTGAGGGTCGCGTAAGCATTCCAGTTAGTTTAAAAGTTCCTTGCTCACGACTGCTATATAACTGACGACAAATGTTGACTTTTTATCATATACCCATTCACTAGACGACTTTAATCAAGAGCATAGACAATACTCCAAAATTTTTAAACATTTTTATATCTCACCAATCAGAAAGTTTCTATCTGAACGATGATTGGCTCTTCTGCTGTCAAACTATTGACATTTTATTAACATAGAATCTTGCTATTTGGAAATTCAAAATGGCTGAATAGTAAGCAGTCTGTCTATTTATTTCTTTAATTGTGCGATATTAATATAGTGACGTGGAGTGATGGAATTTCAGTGCATTCTTATATCTAGAAGGATTTCTCTTTATGCCCTGGAGTAGAAATAAACTATCAAGATTGTAAACAAAGGTAAGTTTTTATGTAGCCGCCCAAAGCAATTCAATCTGTTTCGTATTTTTAAAATCATTTTTATTTTTCGTGCTTTATTTAAGTTGCAAATGTTTCTACTGTATCAGCAACCTGAAAAGTGTTGTCTTGTCTGAGTAGTCCGATAAAATGTATTGCTTTTTTAAACAAGGTTTTTGAATAGACTCAAACCTAACTGTCGTGGTTTGTGCGGTAACCAGACACTACGCATTTAGAGATTCCTATTATTATCGTATAGTACTATGCTACATTTTACAAACATGAATATGTTTTTATTTATTGTCGTTATATACTGTGTTGTTAATGCAATAAAATAGTGCCCTTTTTAATAGGTCGCAGTTATCATCACATTCCTGTATCATTGATAAGATAGTCATTAGAGTACCCTTGAAACGGTTGTCGATAACTTAAAAATAAGACACTTATGATAATAGCTCAATTACTCTTTAAATTATTTAATTTATCTCTCTTAATTACCCTTTTCAAAAAAAATGCACTTTATATTACTCTTTTTTTGTAGAAATTAAATTCTCCCAAAAGTTTAGCTTCCTTTGTTAGGTTTATTACCAATATAACCAGCTGTGAATTATTTGTTGGCAATGATCTGAAGAGGTGCATGTCTGATTCAGCAGTAAATGTGTTGTTCAGTAAATAATAGAAATCCTTAGTCACATTTCTATTTATAATATTGTTGTGTGCATGTTGCTACACACTTTATTTTTAATGAACCATAGTTCTAATTATAATGACTACAGGCAATTTAAATATGTGCCAAAAGAAACCATTTTTTATTTTTTAACTATTAGAAATAATAATGTAAATTGTAAATAAACAACTATTTATATCATTTCGGACAGTTAAAAGACATGTGTTGTCATTGTGTTTAAATAATTGCCTTCTAATTAATAAAGATTACTATTATCATTGTAATGATCATCAGGCAGAAAGTTGAAACAAGTGATAGAAACCCACATCCCGTTGCACTTTGCTTTGCTTTCTAAATATTTTTCCAATATTTTCTTTTATTTTTGTTGTGAGAAAACGCTTATCATGTTAACACATTCTAGGCTTCAAAAGAATAGGCATATTTATAAAATAACTAAGGTACCTTTACTCTATGTTTCGAAAATATTAAGAGTTAATATTTTCGAAACCTAGAGTAAAGGTATAATTTTAAGATTTATATAAAAAGAAATCTGTACAATAATACAAATTTGGTGGCAGGACAGATGGGCTATTATTTAGCCCCTCTGTCTCAGCACCAAATTTTTATTTTCATTAAAATAGTATCAATCTTGACTAAAATGAAGGTGTTTTTTTTTTTATTTATTTTTAAGCATTTAACTGCTAGATGTTTTTAAATCTAAAGAAAAGTTTACTAGAAAAAAATCCACGCGGACCAGGCAGCAGACAGGACCCGTCTGAAACTTTTCTTTAAAATGAAGATATTGATAGGCTGATAACGATCATATCTTAAGTAGTTGTTATACATTTATTTGTTAATTTTTTTAATTTATTTACAAAAATCATTAAATAATTGCAAAAAGACTAATGGTAAAAAAAAAATAGGAAGGAAGCAACATACTTATAAAGAGAATTTATAGTTTATACCCCAGCTTAAAAATAAATAAAACTTCTTTTTGACTTGGCTAACAGATCAGCAAATGTTTCATTTCATGGCATTGTGGACCGTACTTATACAGCAGTTCATATGGTAAACGGCACAAGTGGTGGAAACATTGTGAGTGTACTTTCTGCAGCTTTAGCAGAGCAAATGATGGGTGTTGTATACAATTAATACATACAATCCAATCAATTTGACAGCTGCTGGATTATCCACCTTATTGCAGAGTAGCAAGTAGTAATGCAGTATTAACTGTATTTTCTGCCCAAGCTTCAGAGTATCCAATCCCACCATTCCAGAAATGCTTTTCTCTGTGCACCATTGTACCAATTGTAGAAATCTAGACTGACTCTTATTATAAATGAATTTGTGTATTAATGGCAGCTTTTGCCCCTAAATTATGTTAGAAGTCCAGGTCTTGAGTTACAGCATGAATTTTTATCATTATCTTATAAGAACAACAGCAGCATTATGTAAACAAAAAATGTACCACCACATTTTCAGTATTTCATGATATGATTATTGTAGGAGTGACAAGGAGCAAGTTTAAATAACATCATTACCTGCATAGAAACTATAAAAATTGATTTTAAAAACCTATTTTCTTCTTTCCATTTACTTACAGCTGTTATTCTTTCAGCTATGTAGTAAGTTAACTACAGGAAAAGCCCTTCATATTTAAGGGCAACAATTTTGCACCTTGTTTAATTTCAAAGCAACAGAGAGTCAATTAAATAAAATTATTAAACTCTCTTTTGTTTGAATCATCCAATGTTTTTCCTACCTCCCCTTCGGGACTGTGTTAATTGATAACGAATAAGGAGGTTGCAATTTCTTTGACCTTGTCACAATGTCCTGCATCGAAAGCGACTAAGGCTTAGGCGCTGTACGTAAAGCCTAGGATGCGCGGGCGCCGTTGGCCGTTTGAGCCATGAGTCACAACCGCCCAAAATAGCTCTGGAAATGGGCGCCGCCTACCGGCCGGGGCGGGCGGCGTTGGGCAAGCTCAGTGGCAGCCGCGACGCCGCCGCCGCTACAGGAGCGGTCGAGGTGGAGCGCGCGAGCCATACTGACGCACGGGTGGTGGCGGCGCCGGCGCGGGATGCGCCGCCATGCCGGTACGACACCGCGAACTCGGCGACGAGCTCGCACCCCCGGAGCCCAAGCGCTGCAGGCACTGCGACGGTATGACACAACATATTGGTTTGCGCAGAAAAAACGCCCCCGACACCCCTCCCCCCAGTTTACGCGAAGTTCCACCTGGACTTGGGAACAAACGCCTATGATCCTATTTTTCTTCGATTCTCATTCGGAACCGAAAGTTGTTTATTAACATAAACATTGGAGCTGGTATCGTGCGTCCAGAACACTGACGTTCGGCTCCCAAACACGTGGCTACTAATTCTGGTTGATGGACACCTCTAAGTAACTGACATATTCGCGACCTCCACTGCCTCGCAAATTAATCATAATCGCTGTGTGTCAATGTTGCTCGCTAATTACTCTAATTATTGTTATACACTTAATTGTATGTTTTCCAAGCTTTCTTTTGGTTAACATTTTTATTCTTAATTATAAGCATAGTAGGAGATTACCCATATCTTTAGTCTGCATTTTATATAAAAATGATATATGTATTTTACATTTTGATAAACTAATCTGCATTGAAAATAATGTTAGATACCTACTACTGTAATAAGTTTCGGCACTTCGATACAATGTTTTGTGTTATTGTCTCGAGTCTAGATCATAGAGTTGTGGCAGATGTGTCAAATTTTTTCGTACCTTTTGATGAGGTCAGGATTAATGGTTGTGATGTTATATAATCGATGTATTTTAATTTTTACTTGGTCTTTTTAACTTGGTCCCAGTGAAATGGTTTTGAGAATGGAATACTTAAGCAAACGACGGTCAAGTAAACTTATGTACTACGAATCTCGTTACATACGCACAGATATGGACCAAATTTTCTTATGATGAACTTGACTGTATGAATGTTTACTCGTCGTACAGTCACTAGTCTACTGACTACAGTACAAGCTCTTGATTCATTAAATTTTGCTATATGCACAGTAAACAAATATTTCCAAAACGAATTTAACAACGATAACGAGTTTTAATATAGTAGCATATTATGTTTGTTAGTGTTACTCACTCAGGCAAAAACTACCTACTGAACGGATTTGGATGAAATTTGGTGCACATATAGTTTATGACCTGAATTGAGTTATAAGATATTTTTATCCCGAAAGAAGTCATATTCCTAGAGATCGTAAAAAAACAAAAGTTAATACGGACGAAAGCGCGCATGGCCGCTTGTTAGTTTAAAAAAAATAATATTAAGGAGTAATTTATACAAAAATATAATATCAAAAAACTGTCTTTAAAATGAAGTCGAGGCCAAAATCGAGCAAATGTTTCGAAAAACTTTAAAATGTTGCAGTAGCGGAGATGCGCGACCATCTTTTTTTGTTTTAATTGCTAGTTTACGGTAGTTTAATTAACGGGATCTCTGTACACTGTCTGATTACATTTACCCAGTGATATGTATTAGAAATGCTAATGAAAAACTCAGTTTAATTTGAGAGAAAAAATATCTTGGCCAGTTACTCACTGTAGTGCGCAGATAATTCCGAAACATTCAAATCAATTATTTACTCCCAAATATGCCTATACGTATCATGGTAGATATTAAATAATGAATCTATATTAATTTTTATAAATATTTACAGTTACTATAAGAAAAGTAATTACAATAATACAGAAAAATTCAGTCAGTATGGGTAATACACGTAAATATGTATTAAAATATTTACTTCTTGTAATACATATATTACCTAACTTTAAAGCTTATAATTTTACCCTTAAAATTGTTTAAGTATTAATATTATAAAGAGGAAATATTTGTTTGTTTGTATTGAATAGGTTCCGAAACTACCAATTCGAAAAAAACAAAAAAGTCCACGATACCGTATGTCTAACTATCACAGTTATATCACAACTAGAGGTCCCCTGCGGTTTCACCTGCGTTCATTTGAAGAAAAAGGTTATAGTGAGTCAAACTTAAAATATGGACATTTGTTGTCGCAGTCTCTTTTACAGAACGTTTCATATTCATGTATGTAATTATTTACAAGAAACATGGTACAATAAATAGATGTTACCATAAATATGATGCTCAAACATGATTCGCTAAATTATCATACATATATCAAGAATTTTAAAGAGGTAAAATTCCGTTATACATGATTTTTGTGTATCTTTCTTTAACCGTTTACCCAGCGCACGCAACAGAATCTCACAAATGGAATATGTTTACCCGTTTTTGCAACAGTTTTCATCAATGCTCCGCTGCTACTGGTCGTAGCCCGATGTCATATAGCCTATAGCCTTCTTCGATAAATGCAACATCCAACACAAAAAGATTTTTTCAAATCGAAACCGTAGAGCAATGGTGCATTCGGTACAACGGGTCCTAAACTTCGCAACAATTTTTTTACTTGGAATGGAAGGTTTATAGTAATAATACACTTTATTGAAAGTACACCGGATATAAAAGAAACAAAACATGACAGACAGAATGTACACAATATAGGCGGCCTTATTGCCAGACAGCAATCTCTTTCAGGTAACCTATGATAGAGAAATAAATAAACAAGAAGGACATAGAGAAGGGGTGTGACATTAACAGTAAATAATAATAAGGGAAACAGATATATCATGGAATGAAACATAAGAGTGAAAAAAGAAACTTTAAGGTTGGTACAGGAAAGAACTTGATCTCTCAACGAGTTCATAGTCGCGAGCCTTTCGATTGTTTTACAGATTGCACAGAGAAGGAATAAGAAAAGAAATCGGTTGTATGATGTGGAATTTCAAGAGTAAGGTTAGAATAAGAGCGCAATGTGTTGTGAAGTAGATGAAAGAAACGAGAAGCATTATTTTAAGTAATGTGGAAAGGTATGGTATAAAGGAGCTTATGGGTAAGTCCCTGCGCCGGCGAATAGGGAGCCAATAGGCTAGTTTACTCATGTCGAATTGTATTAAATAAATGTTTATTTCTTAAAGTATTTGGTCTAAGGAACCTATTATATCGATTTCACTTCATAAAAGCAGAAGATTGCTGTAGAAATTTAATTTGAAAAAATATTTTTTAGTCTATATTTTTTAAACACTTAAAACGCTGTTCGCCACATCCGCCATGATTTTGACGTCTCTTGTGGTAAACAACTAAATGTCAATCGCGTGTTACTGTAGGTGGATTCTTTCGTCTGACTAAATTTATCTTAAAACACTTTTAACTTTAGGAAAGAAATAAACAGTAAACTTAGTTTTTTTGACAAAACTAATTATGGTTGCCGGCTTTGTAAAAGCAGAAAGCACAAATCTGCCAAGAATTGACGCATTGATGGTTGGTGAATTTGTTGCACTAAACCCCGATTTCTGCTCTGCGGAGCAGAGAAACGACAAGGCATCTATGTAAGTACAGTGCATTTAGTATTACAATGTAGTAATAAACATAAAACTGATACAACATATGAATAAGTGTAATAAAGTTACGTAGGTTAATTTCTTTCGGCACTTTAATCCACAACTTTCCTGGAGTCTTCAAGGATGTGTTTTTATATTCTCGTACAATACAGTAATGATAATTATAATTTTTATTATTTTTAAAGCATGTAACTGCTTGATGTTTAAATCTAAAGAAAATATAACTAGAAAAAAATCCACGCGGACCAGGCAGCAGACGGGACTCGAACCCGCACCCTTCGCAATCCGGGCGAATGCACTGACCAATTATGCTACCGCGGCCCTCACGGACCGCGTCGAAATTCTTTCTAGCTATTCTTAAGCTGCAAGGCAGCGCCATCTCTTCGCATTATAGGTAAACCCACACACCCCACAGGTGCGGGTTCGAGTCCCGTCTGCTGCCTGGTCCGCGTGGATTTTTTTCTAGTTATATTTTCTTTAGTAATGATAATTACTTTATTTTTCGTGGTATTTATTAGAAATCATGTTTTTTTTTATTATAAACTCAGTTTTAAGTAATTTTCTACGTGTTTACGAGTTTTTGTTTACCACAGTTCACGTCATAGCATAGATAATCTATAGACTAAAATGGCCGACAGCGTTTTTGTATGTCCATGAAAAGTCTATTTTAAAATTAAAGATTTGTAGCTTTCTAGGTTTAAAAAAAATACAATACATTTTTTTTCGGTCTAATAGAACATTTATTAACCATTTAAAACCTTATAATTTTTATTATTTTTAAAGCATGTAACTGCTTGATGTTTAAATCTAAAGAAAATATAACTAGAAAAAATTCCACGCGGACCAGGCAGCAGAATTTTTTCTAGTTATATTTTCTTTAGATTTAAACATCAAGCAGTTACATGCTTTAAAAATAATAAAAATTATAACTATAATTGCTATTTCTTCTTTCAAATGTTTAATACTTGTAAAAGTATTAATTTGACATTGTGGGTTTACCTATAATGCGAAGAGATGGCGCTGCCTTGCAGCTTAAGAATAGCTAGAAGGAATTTCGACGCGGTCCGTGAGGGCCGCGGTAGCATAATTGGTCAGTGCATTCGCCCGGATTGCGAAGGGTGCGGGTTCGAGTCCCGTCTGCTGCCTGGTCCGCGTGGAATTTTTTCTAGTTATATTTTCTTTACATTTAAAACCTTTTTCCAAAAAGGGTCAACTAGCCTATTAAGTGTAGAACGGAACTGTGAGACATGGTCGTAATTACGGAGGTTAAACATTTAATACATAAATTCTGCAGATGTTCCAGTTTCTTCAGGAGTTCTTCGGAAAGGTCGGTGTAACAGGCATCAGCAATTGTCAAGTATAGACAGTAAAAGAGTCTGCGCCAGAGCGATTTTGGTAATGGTGGGCAAAAAGTTGCGTAAGCGGTTAAGTGATCAGTATGCAGTAGAATTTTTTTACCTGATTGCCTCCATGCCTCCTGAGGCCTCCAAGAGAAACACTGATCAAAGACAACCCCAAAGTTATTGACCGTGCTTGATAACGGAATAATAGTCCCATCAAAGGTTATAGGAGGTAAATGTTCAAAATTGATCCTTGAAATGAAGTAGGAGCTGCCAATTATGATAGCTTGCGTCTTTGTGGGGTTCACAGTAAGGCTGAATGACTTACTCCAGGAACAAATTAAAGACAGGTTA